AGGGTCATTGACTACTGTGTGTACCTTATTCTTTCCTTTTCTCAATGGAAGCTTGTACTATAGTTAGACCACGCGATGACACAGATCACCAGACAGGGCCAACTATGTATGGAATTTGTAGGGTCCAGTACAGAAGGAAAATGTAGGACTCCTTGTTCAAAGAAGCATAGAAAATGTGCCAGCCATTAAAAGTACTAAAATGTCAAGCTTGTTCCTTTCCTCCACGTGTGTTTTGACTTGTCATCGGGGACTGTATTTGCAATTTAATGCCATTCTAAATAAAGAAAGATTTAATTTTACTGTTCATCTTTATATTGTGCAATGCTAGTTTTGAATGCAAATATAAAGCATAATTACTGAAATGACACAATTCTTATTTTGTGGCTTGTACATACATATGTATTTTGTTCTTCCCAGAACATAGCAATGCTACTCACAACTAATTCAACTGCTTTCATTTTGCTTCTTAATGTGTGCACATTCTAGCACTAGTCTCTACCATTAGCTTACTGATGAGTAAGAAAGGAATAAAAGAAAAAATTATACTGCTCTATTATTACCTTTCTTTCTGTGACATAATTTTAGTGTAACTAATGGCTTCATACAGGGAAAGATAGCACAAGAAAAAGAATACAATGAGATTCTTTGGTATTTTGTGTTTCTTAGAACACAATTGTCCCTTTTTGTGTATTCAAATGATATTTTCGTTCAAATGAAAATGTAGATTCTCAGTACTGTCAGAGACCTGTACCTTAGTGGTATATATGACATGGTTAAGATATGCTAAACTCCCAGGCCTCATAGGTCTACTGGAACTCTGCATTCATGGGGCATGACAAATGCTCTACGTGCCTGGGGCAGCAAGGACAGGGGGCACAGATGTTGCACACATCTGCTCTCACATTGTTCCCCATTACCCTCTCAGATATCACTTCAAAAACACAAGTTCAAAGATAAAATTGTTAGTCATTTCAAGACAATGATAACGATAATGGGGCCCATCTGAGTGAGTCACCCCGTGCAACTGTAAAGTTCTCATGCTCATGAGGTCATTACTGATTGGGTCCAAGACAGCCACAGTGACATGAGCTGGAAATCCTAGACTTGGAGCTAGATCTGGGATTATATGGGGCAAAGCGGGGGCCAGCACTGTGGCACAGTGGGTTAACGCCCTGGCCTGAAGCACCAGCACCCCGTTTGGGCGCCGGTTCTAGTCCCAGCTGCTCCTCTTCCGATCCAGCTCTCTGTTATGGCCTGGGAAAGCAGTAGAAGATAGCCCAAGTCCTTGGGCTCCTGCACTCACATGGGAGACCTGGAAGAAGCTCCTGGCTCCTGACTTCAGATCAGCGCAGCTCTGGCCATTGCGGCCATCTGGGGAGTGAACCAGCGGATGGAAGACTTCTCTCACTGTCTCTACCTCTCTTTGTAACTCCGTCTTTGAAATAAATAAAATAAATCCTTAAAAAATGGGGCAAAACGTGGTTTCACTTGGTTTGGGCATGGGTAGATTATTTCTGTTGGAAAGAGTAAAGAGTAATACACACACACATACACACACATATCTATCTATCTCTCTCTCTCTCTATATATATATATATATAGAGAGAGAGAGAGAGAGAGAGAGAGAAAGAGAGAGAGAAACTATTGACTTACCAAAACCTATGTTTTTTTTTTTGTTTTTTTTTTTTTTTTTTTTTCAAGGAAGACAGTTGACTAGATTCCCAGATGTAACTGAATTCCATGCCAAGGCATTTGGGCAAAATTGATGCACAGTGTTTCCGTGCCTGACTTGTAGAAACTTCTCCCATGATCTTCTGCCCTCTTACATCCTTTGTCAACTGGGTATACGCAGATGCACCAGCAGAGAACTGAAATTCCCCAACGAGAATACTGAACTACACTTTAGAAAGGTCCTAAAACTTAACAAACAGGGGCCAGTGCTGAGGCGCAGTGGGTTAAAAGCCCTGGCTTGCAGCTCCAGCATCCCATTTGGGCCCCTCTTCATGTCACTGCTGCTCCTCTTCTGACCCAGCTCTCTGCTGTGGCTTGGGAAAGCAGTAGAAAATGGCCCAGATCCTTGGGCCCCTGCACCCATGTGAGAGACCCAGAAGAGGCTCCTGGCTCCTGGATTCGGATCAGCTCAGCTTGGGCCATTGTGGCCATTTGGGGAGTGGACCAGTGGATGGAAGACCTCTCTCTCTCTCTGTACCTCTTTGAAATAAATAAATCTTTAAAAAAAAAACTAACCAAATGTTTTAACTGTGTTAAGACAATTGAATTTTGAGGCTTGTATATAACAAATGTTTGTTTCTTCTGAAAAAAGAAGAGTCTACCCCAAAAATAAGCTATTAGTAACTCAGGAACTTATCTCCCTTAAATGGCAGCAAGAGAAATCATGTCAAGAATGTCACCTGAATCATGTAGACTGGACAGACTCAGGGGGTGACTCAGGAATGTGAAGGAGAATTTGGTGATGGGATTCAGTGGGTCCACAGGGGCCACTGGCTGATTACAAAACTCGGGAATGGGTCTTCCTCTGGATGTGCACATTAAATAACTGTAATTTTATATTCGGTATACCACATTGGCATGGAGTGAAGGGTGGGGTAAAGATTTTATTTAAAATTCAGTGTTATATTCTCCAAGAAGTCTTCAGCAATACCTCAGAAGCACCTCTCTATCCAGCTGCTTTGTTCCATATCAAGGCACCTCCGCTACACAGAACATGTTATAATTTGCTGGAATACATCTTCATTGTCTGTTTCATCCCGTATAATGGGTTTTTTTAAAATTGACTTTGTCAGTTTTATTAACCATGTATCTCCAGGAGGGCTTAGCACTAAATGACTAACTAAATGAAAAGATGCACAAATATTTATATTCATAAACCATGCTGATTCATGGGAACATTGAATAAATCAGACTCCTTAAAATTTTTAACTTTTTTAAAAATTTTATTTGAAAGGCAGAAACAGAGAGAGCTAGAGGGATCCTCCATCTACTGGTTCACTCCGCAAATGAACACAACAGCCAAGGCTGGGCCAAGCCAAAGCCAGCAGCCCAAAACTCTGCCCGGATCTCCCATGAGAATGACAGAGAAGTACTTGAGTCATCATCTGCACGTTGCAGGGAGCTTGAGCGTCAGAGGTGCTGGAACTCAAACCAGAAACTCTGATATAGGACACAGGAGTCCCAAGCAGAAAATTAACTGCTGCACCAAACGCCCGGTTTACTGTAGACTATTTTCAGTTGACTCTTGCCAGTTCCCTGGTTATGCAATGAATGGATCTCCTACTTTCCAGCTCAGTCCTTCTTCACCGGGTGGCTGATTATGCAGTTGGATCTCTATAACACTTCTTCCACTGCTGAGACCCCCCCCCAGGGAGGGGGGGTCATTCGCCTGCCGTTTTGACCTTTGCCCACCACTTTCCCCACCTCTTCTTTAAAAGGTTGCCTGCGCTTTCTTCTTCTGATCTGGACTTTTTGTCTTTGGTAGTTGTGTCGATTCTCTCATTCCTGGCTTAAATTCAGATTCACAATTCTGTGTGTTTGTTTCCAGTATAACTAACCCTGGCTTCAGACCCCATCTGAAATCACAATCTTATTGCTGCCATTGGGAAACCAAGTGCACCCATCAGCAACTGCTTCTGAGTGCTATCTCTCAGTTTTCTTAGTATTCAACACAGAACCATTTCCTTGGGTTCAACTGTCCTGAACTAATTATGTTTTATATCAAATTGTAAAAAGCACAACTCTTTTTTAAAGGTTTATTTATGTACTTGAAAGGCAGAGTTACAGAGAGGTAGAGGAAGAGGTAGAAGCATAGGCAGAGAGAGAGAAAGAGAGAGAGAGAGCGCAAGCTTCCACCTGCTGGTTAACTCCCCAAATGGCTGCAATGGCCAGAGCTGAGCCAATCTGAAGCCAGGAGACAGGAGCTTCTTCCAGGTCTCCCATGTCAGTACAGGGGCCCAAAGACTCGGACCATCTTCTGCTTTTTCAGGCCATAGCAGAGAGCTGGATCAGAAGTGAAGCAGACATGACTTGAACTGGTTGCCCATATGGGATGCTGGCAAGCAGGCAGTGGCTTTACCTGCTAAGCCACAGCACCAGCCCCCCCAAAAGTACAACTTTTAAAAACAAAATGGAAGTTTAAATTTTTATTTTTATTTATTTATTTTTGTTTTATGGAGATAGTCTTTAATGTTTGCTTTTTTTTTTAACTTTTATTTAATAAAAATAAATTTCCAAAGTACAACTTATGGATTATAGCAGCTTCCCCCCCCCATAACCTCCCTCCTACCTGCAACCATCCCATCTCCCACTCTCTCTCCAATCCCATTCACATCAAGATTCATTTTTAATTATCTTTATATACAGAAGATCAATTTAGTATATACTAAGGAAAGATTTCAACAGAAGACTCATAGAATGGCAGATGTCCGAAACAGCACTCTGGCCTCAGAATCAGCCCTTAAGGTATTCAGATCCAGCTAAAGAGTCCATGAGAGTATTTTAGGCATGGAAAGCCAAGACATTCTGGCAAAAAAAAAAAAAAAAAAATTAAAGATCTCAGTGAGTGAGATCCCAGTGGAAAGAACGGGCCATCAAACAAGGAGGTACCTTTCTCTGAAGGGAGGAGAGAAATTCCACTTTGACTATGGCCTTGTCTAAATAAGATAGGAGTTGGCAAATTCAAGAGGCTTCCATAGCCTTGGCAGCTCACGACAAGAGCCTTGGGTGATTACTGACATCATAAATAAGAGTGTCAATTGTTAAATCAACAACGGGAGTCACTTACTCTGCATGTTGGATCTCTGTCCTTAATGTGTTGTACTATGTGAATTAAGGGTATAACTAGTACTCAAACAGTACTTTATACTTTGTGTTTCTTTGTGGGTGAAATCTACTTAGGAAGTTTAAATTTTTAAAAAGGGTAAGATTTAATTAAAATATTGTGGTAGTGCTGAAAACACTTGATAATAATCAGTAGTTATTCATTGTGGTGGAATGAGAAGGCTATGCCAAGATGGCCACTGGCAAGCAAGCATCAGTTACTCAGGAAATGGCTTCAGAACCTACCTGGCAAAGGAGCCTGCCTGTTAACAGGCAGGGATTGGTTACAGCATAAACTGCCCCTTGAATGGATTGGTTGCCTCTGCTATATAAGCTGCTGTACCAACCAAAATAAATGAGTCAGTGAGCTGGTAGCCTCTGGCCTGCTTTCACCTGACTGCCAGTGTCTGTGTCGTGACTCTGTGCCTTTTGCCCCCACCATGCTCCTCCTCTCAGAACTAATCCACAGCAACAATTCATCTCAAAAAAGGGCTTAAGAAGTGCAGGTTTTTGCCTGTACTACCTTCTTGAACACATGATCCGCAGTAGAGTACTATGCACATTACAAGTAGTCAATAAATATGTCTATGAATTGCTTGGCTATTGCATCTAAAAATTCATGATTTTGACAAATATTGATGTAGTACAACATGCCATGAAGTCCATTCCTAGCTCTCGTTCTCTTTAGCAGCCTTGGCTCATTATCCAAATGATTATGTTCGGAGGTCTCTCATAGCCACATTTCATCACACTACTGACAGCACTGAAGTGGTTGAGTGAATGTAGTGCCTGCTCATAAAATCATTTCAAGTAAAGGGCTTCAAGATCTTTCCAGCTGTTATTCAAATCTATATCATTATTTACTATAGAACATAAAATATCAAGGTCTCATATATTTTCTCCCTTACTGAACTTACACCAGCTGATCCATGCGACAAGGTATTGAGGTCCAATAAAGCTGATCACCTCAGAATTTGTTTCCTTAAGTATTCTATTTTTGGTTCTCTAAATTGTGGCTAACTGAAATTGGCAGTCACATGGCCTTCAAGGGAGTGAAAAGCAATAGGTTTAAGGTTTGGTGCTTAGAAAGGAGTGGGTCATATGCTATGGGTACAGATTATGGAAAAGTTGTTATGTATCTGTTTTGAAGTACAGACTGCTGCTGCTAACACTCCCTAAGTTTTTATTAAATTTTCCAAAAAAGTAACCGAATGGTTGCCATGGGGATGATTATGATGTCACAGAGGATGATGACTTCTCATAATCTATAAGCAGCAAGAGCAGATGTGCTTGTAAGAAACAAAGATCTTGTTTCCATACAAATGTACTCAAAATGAAACACAAAGAAAGAAAAATACCCAGAGCACATAATGCAAAGAAAAAGAATTGCTTCTAAATAGAATGTTTTACAAAGTTTTCCATAAAGCCTCAGCTGTTCTTCGAAGCACAACCAGCTTGAACATGGGTAGCAGACATGAAATTACAGTATTCACAAAATTAGTATTCAGCTTGCAGAATCTCTCCTTTCAAAGCCTTCATGCATACTTTATGCATGCACAATTATAGAAGCAGGTAATGAGAGAAATTTTGATTTTCCTTCTCTGGTTGTTATTGTATTTATCTAGGTAAGTCCTGGCAAAATTTTCTTTGTTAAAAATAATTCTAAGCAATGATTAATTCTATTGAAAATGTAATTTTACTCTTATAAGATACTTTGGATGATTTCTCTAAAACACATGTTATTCTATCTATGGAGATGGGTAGTGACATACCAACTTTTAATAAAGAGTCAAAGTTCAGTGACAATAATATGCAAGATACAATAATTTTTACAGTTTTATTCTTCTATATTGTTATTAATTTCCCTTCCATTATTAAAAGTTTTAAAAGGATCTTCAAGTTTATGGCCATGACCTTCTGAAATACATAGATATTGTAAACAATATATCAAATGAATTGGTTGTGTCAAAATATATTACAATGTCTCCATTACATCACTTTGAATTTAATCCTATACACATTGATGGTCATTTATACTCTCCTAAATTAATTCTTCAGATTCTTCTTTTCTTCTTCTTTTTTTTTTAAAGGCAGACTGGACAGTGAGAGAGAGAGAGAGAGACAGAGAGAAAGGTCTTCCTTTTCCGTTGGTTCACCCCTCAATGGCTGCTGAAGCCAGGGTGCTGCAGCTGGCGCACCACACTGATCTGAAGCCAGGAGCCAGGTGCTTCCTCCTGGTCTCCCATGTGGGTGCAGGGCCCAAGGACTTGGACCATCCTCCACTGCAGAGAGCTTGGACCACTCCTGGGCCACAGCAGAGAGCTGGACTGGAAGAGGAGCAACTGGGACAGAACCGGCGCCCCAACCGGGACTAGAACCCGGGGTGCTGGTGCCGCAGGCAGAGGATTAGCCTATTGAGCCGTGGCGCCAGCCCAATTCTTCAGATTCTTATGTATCTCTCACAGTAATCTCAAATATTTCTTAGAATTAATCAAAGTTTAAATAATAAAAAATTATAACAAACTTGCCATTCCCTGAAATTAAAAAAAAACTGTATCCAACTTGAATTTGCCAACAAAAATATTACATTCTCATATGTCATATAACTCAATGAGAGATATGAACTGAGTTGACTGGAAATAAATGAACCATTTTGTCAATTCCCAAGATATTTTATTTCTAAAGCAATCTACCATAGAATAATCTACATGAAAACAAAGATTAAAATATGTTTAGAATTTTCATTACTATGAAGTGCATATACATTTAATTTTACTTTCAATTTAATGTCCAAATTATTTTTTAAGAAATGAAAAATACTGAAAGATTACATTACATTAAAGAGAAATTAGTAAAAATAATCAAAGAATAAAAAATAAAAACCCACTATGTCTACTATCTTGAGTTGAAAGAAATTAAGAATAAGTTAACAGGTGTTTCTGAAAGCTAGACTTTAATCCTAGTTTTAGTTCTGGGCTCATACTGAAATCATATACTATTTTAAGATATAAGCTCACTTTTTAAAAGTACATAATATGAATACAGTACTCTAAATGGACACTCAATGATGTTTGAGGTATGTGTTGAGAACTGTGAGAGTATCATAACATAACTTCTGACCAAGAGGGCTAAACACACTTATTACAAACACTGAAAAGATTTAGGAGGAATCAAAGAAATGCTTGTTTAAGAATTACAGAAGATGATAATACGTGAATTGAGGTTAACCAATTGCAAAGCCTAAATTAAAAAAATAACATAAGTATTTGAATATAAAAAGAGAAAGGAAGTTGTTAAAAGTGCTTTTCAATTAATGAAGTAAAACACAAATTAGCTAGCACTATAATATTTTGTAGCACTTTTTTGAAGAAGGGTTCCATTTCTAGGGTAATCCTTACTAACAAATATAGCACCAAATCTGTGTAAAACATTATATTAAGAAACAAAAGCATTGTAAAAAACTGATGATTGTGTTTTTCTCTAAAGTTATTCTAACATAGTGGGTACAAATGCATGAAAATATGTATTATATTGTGAGGTAATTGATAATATTAATGACATAGATACTAGGTGCTAAATAATTTAAGTGGAATTACAAAGTATGTATTTACAATGAATGGTGCAACATATTTCAAGGGCAGAAAAAATATTGCAGTGATATAACAGATCTAAATCTGCATGGAAATATGTGCTAGATGGCTGTCTTTACATACAAAAGTTTTGTCTGTAACCTGAGGTTTTTGTATCTTTGAACTGATTTTATTAGAAAATGATTAAACCATAATTTTCCATTTTTAAGATTCCCAACAAAGGAAGCTAAACAAAAACTAGACAGTTTTGGGGGAAGACAACTTAGTTGCCAAGTTGTCTTAAACTTTGCTCTCTCTACATGAACACAGGTGAGTTGAACTAATTATTTCTATGTGTGGTTTTTCTAGGAATTAATACGACTGCTTTGATTTACAATTAGATAAGTTCTGGATAGAAAAATCTGTATCTGACATATCTTATAGTAGGATCTGGAAGAGCAATCGTGAGAAATGGGTGCTCTGATCCAGGTGGCAGGAGATACATTTTTTTGTCAGGTTTTTATTTTCTTTTTCAATAACATCAGATATTTGTGGAAAGATTTTAAAATTTGGGAAAGATAATCAATAGAAAAATAAGGCCCAAAGCAATGGTCACATATATCATTGCAACAATTAGCTGTGGTAATATTAAGCATACTAATTTAGGCATCTCCTTTGAAAAACTCCTTTTCATCTATTTGTTTGCTTAAGTTAAAGAAACATAGATCACGCATTGCCCTCTCCCTTGATTTGATAAATTACTGATGTTGACTCATTAGTCTCCATTTTTACAAGATATTATGAAGTAAATTACATCCACTTTTAACAGTTGAGGAAACCAAGAGATTAAGAAATTTGTCTAATCAGTAGATAACCCGGTAAGTAGAGTTGGGATTTGACCCTAGGTCTCTAGATTGAAAGAGCTTGATCATTGTTACCACCCTGATGCTTCCGCCTGTATCACCTGGGTCAAATTTCTCTTGGAGCACTGATCTGGGAAAAAATATTTTTTTGTTTGTGCTGATGATTTCATAGGCTTCCCAACAATTAGAGTTCTGTAAGCGACAGTATGGTTCCTCCTTTGTCTGGTTACTATGATTTCAGAAGTAAGTTTTGGGTTCAATTGTGGCTTTTCTATAAGCAAGATTTTTTTCATTTTTTTCTTTCCCCTTTGCTTCTTAGTTTATTTTCATATATATATTTTATCTTACTATTGAATGTAATATTAGCTCAATGATTTTGGAAGTATTCATAAATAAATCAATAAACTGGCCTCATACAGTAGCCACAAATCAGTCTTTTTTAAAACATTTATTTCAGAAATTTTAGATGTGAAAATACCCCTCACCTCATTTTCCTTGTTAACACTTCATATTAGTATCTTTGTCACAATTAATGAACACACAGCTTCCCCTATTTTTTAACCAAATACTAATCAGTCTTGAATGGAACTTCATGTTTTCCAATTTTCAAATCAAAGGACTATCAATTGTTTAAAATAAGGCATCAAACTGAATCGAAATTTCACTTGCTATGAATAGTCTTAACATCTTTTAATATGATACAATGAAAAGCATAATACATTTGATTAAAGTTGGCCTTCTCAAAACACTCATTCTCTTCTTCAGCAAGGTTAGAAGAACCATTGATCACTAGGCCCAATTCCTACAGTGAAAATTAGGATAATGGTGACCTCCTGATTTTACCATCCTAGAGAAATGAGGCCATGTCCTTTTACTTTCACCAAGACAGAGTTAAGGGGTAGAGAATGAAATGCTGGGATTCTAGATGACCAGGCTGGAGTTCTGCCACTACCTCGCTGACTATTGTGGAGACGTCATTTAAAATTTATGGGTGGAATGCTACATGGTTAACCCGCGATTTCAGTGCCCAGTTCTAGCTCTCCTTCACATTTGACACTCTGATCCCTCTCTGGTATCATTCCTTAACTTCACATATGAAGAAACAAAGGACAAGCACAATGAAGTGACCCCCATCAGAGTAAAATAGGTGGCTAATGGCTGAGTCAAAATTAAAAAGGTCTCCTGATTTTTAGAACTAAGTTTATGAAGAAATTAAGCATTGCAACTATATGTCATCCTATTCCCACTCACCCTAGAGCTTACTGCTATTCTGAAAGCAATGCTTTTCTTTTCCCTTTTATTATATTTTTATTATATACAAATAATATATAAATAAATACTATATAATATTGTTTTCCATGTTTTAATAACTAAATTAACAACATGAGAATTAATTTAAAATTGGTCTACTTCGCACTTATAATATTTAGAGATTCAAGTATTATTATACATGTATGATATATGTAGTATATATGTTTGTACTGATATATGTGGTACTATATAGCTGATATATAGTATTACAATGAAGTGAAACCCTTCAGTTTTTCCACCCATTATCGTTGTTATACATACAACATTTTTGACCATACAATCCATAGGGGTAAAATACATTTTACATGGTAACCTAGTACATAGCTGTGCATATTTCTGAAATTAAAAATTCCCTTTTGGGGCCAATGCTGTGGCGCAGTGGGTTAATCCTCCGCCTGAGGTGCCGGCATCCCATATGGGCACTGGATCTAGTCTCAGCTGTTCCTCTTCTGATCCAGCTCTCTGCTATGGCCTGGGAAAGCAGCAGAGGATGGTCCAAGTGCTTGGGCCCCTGTACCCATGTGGGAGACTGGGAAGAGGCACCTGGCTCCTGGCTTTGGATTGGCGCAGCTCTGGCCTTTACACCATTTGGGGAGTGAACCAGTGGCAGGAAGACCTTTCTCTCTGTCTCTCCCTCTCACTGTCTGTAACTCTACCTCTCAAATAAGTAAATAAAATCTTTAAAAAAAATTCCCTTTTAATTCATATTTGTTATGTGAATGTACTCTATAGCTCTGTTTCATTTCTTTAGATGCTGGTTATAACTCATTAAATACACAGCCTATAGTAGGTTATAATCAGGTATCTGAGAAACACTTTTGTAAGGGAATATTTTTCATTCTGCTACAACACTTCTCACACTCTGATATTCCTATAAGGTGGAGCTGGCAACTAGGTGAATTCAGCTTAGAACTTTTTCAGGCAATGAGAAATGTAAATAAATAGGAATATATTAAACATGTGGATTGCTTAGGTGCAGAAACATGTTTATGAACCATGGTTTTAGGCAATGGGGTTTCTTTCTTTCTTATGAGATAATTCTAAAAAATCACATTTGTAGCTTTAAATAAATGATTCATATTTTTGAAATAATGCTGTATGTATTAATGTATGCTTGCTACTTTGAGGATTTCTATGGACAATCCTATCTGTAAATTTTTGGAATATGAATTTTTTTAGAAAGTGAATAAAAATCACTTTTTAACTTATACATGTATTTATCATGGAAATAGAAGAATACCCATAACTCAAAGAAGCTTTATGTGCATTTTTATATATTACATATATTATTAATATTATTAATATATTACACATATCATTAAGCTTTATTCCTTAATTACATTACAGTGTATTACTCGCAGACTTAAATAGAAAGGACTTCATTGATTTAAAGTTCTCCTACGTAGGATGATGTCGCAAAGGGCATTTCTGTGTTTAGCAGGAGAGATATTTTCTTTTTTAAGCAAAGAGTCTTCAATTCCATTATGCTTATATATTATACTGGTCTTGAATTGGCATTTTAGTCTGTGGCCATGACTAGAGAATATTTTGCTCTTAGCAAGGGTGATAATTTCTACTTGCATTCTGGCATCACCATTCGACTTAAGTACTTGAATTCTTTGTCATCAGCTCTCAGTATGCAATACTTGGGAAAATCTAGTGACTTCCATGAGTAAACCAAAGTCTTCATATTATCCAGGGGCCTTAGGCTACCTAGTTTTTTAACCCTGATGTTGAAGGAAGTAATGAAGTTGAGTTGGCAGAGAAAAAATAGAATCTGCCGAAGTTCAGGTTAAAGAGCACTCAAAACATAAATGCAAGGGAAAGCAATGTTAGGAAGTCATCATCCCATATAGAAGGCATTATATGTCAATAACCTGCAGGAACTTGTATTCTGATAAGCTTTGTAAATGTCTCTTACTGGAATCTTTTCACCTTGTGGTACAACAACTGCTGCAATCACTGGCCACACTGTAAAGAAATAAATAATAGCAGGCATATTCAACCTCTAAAGGTGTGGGTGTCCACCTGGCTCCAGACTGAATGAATGAAAAAGTTGACATGAAGATTGAAATGGAAGATGGGGGTACTTTGGCTAAAGTCAACTCTTTTCTTTTGTACTCTCCATCTCAACACTAATTAGCACCTCCTCCCCCTTACTAAGTACCCCACTGCTCAATACCCTTCCCAAACCTGGGATACCTCTTTCAAACAAGTAAATAAACAAGCAAATCCTCGTACTTCTTTAAAAACATTTTCCTAAATTTAAGAGCCCTTCTTTGAGGACATGACGTTCCTCTAAGCTAGAGTGAACATATAATATGACATAGAAACCAGGACATTTTTAAAGACTAAAAGGGGGCACTATTAATAATTATGTCAGGATCACAGGTATAAACTGGGACTGTTCTTGGCAGACCAGCTAGTAAGAGGTCATCCTACCTATAGTCCTCTCAAATACAGACTATTCATTTTCCTACGGTTCACTTTGCTCAGGGTTAGAATATGGGGTCAGTATCTTCCACACAATTTAAATATATTTTAGAGCATTTATTCTTGTGCACAACCTCAGTTCCTCTAATAATCATTCTTTACAGCTGCCTCCTCACAATTGTTCCTCCCTGCTATTTATCAGCCTCCCGGGGACTCCTTCATTAACTTCTAGAGTGATGTTTGCCTTTATGCCTGAAGAACCACGTTGCCTAATCACTCTATCACTTTTCTGGTAATCTACCTCTTACTGGGCATGACTTCTTCACCTACCTTATGGATCCTGGCACTTTGCTATGCATTAGAAATACTGTATTCTGTTTACAACTTTCTATTCCCTCTTTCTTTCACACAAATTCTTCAACCTCATTAGGACCCCAAATCTGTATAATCCTTCTTCGTATCTGCCAATATCCTATCAATATCCTTTATGTAGTTTACTCTGTGGTCCAATGCTTCCATTTATTTTTCTGAACTAAACTCAACGTCTTTGATTACATGATTTTAGCTCCCCATTTGGTAAAATGTTCACAGTGCATCAGTTTCATGATTCATTCAAGAATCAACTGGGCTGTAAGTTCAGCTGTAGCAACAGCACTGAGTATACTGACTATTTGTGGTCACCATCCTCAATTGGGTCTTCTACTATTCTCCAATATTTCTATA